GGGCGGGAGCCCGGGCCTCTCCACGGGCTGGGCGCCTCGCAACCTGCGCCAAGGTTGCGAGTCACCTCCCGGCTCGGGGATCGTCGCCTGGGAGGAGAGAGATGGCCGGACGCACATCTCGCAGGCCTTTGCTCCCCGTCAATGTCCGTATCCATAAAACGGGCCTGTACTAAACCCTTCTGCCTCGTACGGGTACAGGAGACAGTGGCATTAAAGCACCTGGTGCATACCCAGCACTCAGAGGTGGTCAACATCGTGACGAGGTCGGGGGGACAGTAGGGGAGAAAAAGGAATCTCCCCTTTTTTTTCGCTGGACCCTGACTGGGGCAGAACCAGGGGCGCTGCTCTGTGTCTCGACCCTTCCTGGGAGGGGCTTGGATTCCTCAGTCCAAAACCTTGGGGAGCGCGAGAGGAGGAGACTGAGGCACAGGCCACTGCACTCCTGGTCAGGAACTCTAGCGGCAGGGAGAAGCTATACGCATTTTACAGAGAGGGTAACTGAGGCTCAGAAAAGGAAAGGGTCTGCCCAAGTGCATCCAAGGTGGACTTGGGCAGCTTTGAAGTTGTAGGTTTCCGGGCCTGCCTCCCACAGGCCTCAAGCTCTCTCAGAAGTAGGGGGACTCAGGCCTGTGCTGGGGTCTCTGGAGTCTGCGAAGGTGGAGGGCAGGAGCGCAGGGACAGAGCGCGGCTACCTCACCTCCTCAGCAACCTGCAGAGCTGTCGTCCTGTGCGTTCCTAACAGGCTCCGCTCTGCCCCTTAGCAGCAGCTGTGGCCCTGGGCTAACTGGTGAGCGGCCCTGGACCTCAGCTGGGACATCGGTAATGTGGGGTCTGGACCAGCCAAAGAGGGTCGGGAGGGTTCCTCTTCCCTCGGGGCTGGTGAGCCCTTCAGCTCTTTCCTCACCGCCTCCTCCTCCCGGCTGGGGAGGTCGAGGCAGAGCGGGTGGTCTCGGGTCCGGGCCTGAGCGCTGCCCCCCACGCCCTCCCCGCAGCCACCCGCGAGTCCGCCTTCGTGCACGCCATCGCCTCTGCCGGCGTGGCCTTTGCGGTCACGCGCTCCTGCGCTGAGGGCACCTCCACCATCTGCGGCTGCGACTCGCATCATAAGGGGCCGCCAGGCGAAGGCTGGAAGTGGGGCGGCTGCAGCGAGGACGCTGACTTCGGGGTGCTGGTGTCCCGGGAGTTCGCGGACGCGCGCGAGAACAGGCCGGATGCACGCTCGGCCATGAACAAGCACAACAACGAGGCGGGCCGCACGGTGAGCCGCGACCGCCCTCGCCCCAACCCTGCCGGAGCCCCCCGGAACCCCTGCTCCGACCCTGGCCCTGCCCCTCCTGGGCTGGCCTCGCCTCCTCCCCGCTCTGCCCCTTCCCGGTAGCCCTGTGCGTCCTGGGCTCCCTTTCCCCAAGGCTTGGCCCCCAACACACCCCACGGCCACCCCTTCTGCCCACCTTTCTTCCTCCTTGGCCTCGCCCCCTCCCCGCTCTGCCCCTTCCCGGTAGCCCTGTGCGTCCTGGGCTCCCTTTCGCCAAGGCTTGGCCCCCAACACACCCCACGGCCACCCCTTCTGCCCACCTTTCTTCCTCCTTGGGCTGTTCCTCGTCTCTGCCCGTGAGTGCGGCCCCAGGGGGGCAGGTCCCCCCAACCCCCACCCTGTGCACTTGGCTGGCTGAGTAGGGCTGTGAAGTCCGGGAGACCTGGCTTTGAATTCAGCCTCCATCCCTTCCTATGATTGGGTGACCTAGGGCAAGTCACTTAAGCTCCAGCCTCAGTTTCCCCATCTGTGAAATTGGGATAACAATTCCTGTTTCCTATGCTGTGAGAAACGGATGTGATGTGTGCCTATGCTGGGGGTGTGAAGGGGAGGGAAGCAATGATCACTGTCCTTTAGGTCCCTGCCTCAGTCCCCATGGGTTCTCCTCTTGGTGCAGAGTAGGAGGAGAGCAGGCTAGAGTGGAGTGAAGGGGGTGGGCAGGGGCAGAGTGGGAAGGTCTAGAAGTGCTTCCAGGTGGGGTCAGTCTGGGAGCCAGCTGCTTCTCTTCCCCAGACCATCCTGGACCACATGCACCTCAAGTGCAAGTGCCACGGGCTGTCGGGCAGCTGTGAGGTGAAGACCTGCTGGTGGGCCCAGCCTGACTTCCGTGCCATCGGCGACTTCCTCAAGGACAAGTACGACAGCGCTTCGGAGATGGTGGTGGAGAAGCACCGTGAGTCCCGAGGCTGGGTGGAGACCCTCCGGGCCAAGTACGCACTCTTCAAGCCACCCACTGAGAGGGACCTGGTCTACTACGAGAACTCCCCTAACTTTTGTGAGCCCAACCCGGAGACGGGCTCCTTTGGCACGAGGGACCGGACTTGCAATGTCACATCCCACGGCATTGATGGCTGCGATCTGCTCTGCTGTGGCCGTGGCCACAACACGAGGACGGAGAAGCGGAAGGAGAAATGCCACTGCATCTTCCACTGGTGCTGCTACGTCAGCTGCCAGGAGTGCATACGCATCTACGATGTGCACACCTGCAAGTAGGGAGCCAGGTAGGGTGCGGGCTGGGGTGGCGGGGCACCCTGATCCAGGGAGCTGGGTTTGCCCATATCCTCTTCTTGACCACCCTGTTCTATTGTTAAGCTAGCCAAGACACCCAAGTTCCCACAGCCAAAATAGGAAGCCAGGATCTCCCAAGCTTTAGTGGAATGATCCTTGGATAGTGAGTTGGTGTATTACACAAAGCATAGATGACAACCAAGCATGTGAACATAAGCTATGAACAACTGATTAAATTTTTTTTTTTTT